ATGACTGAGAGGAATAATAGGAAGACTGTGTTCAACACCACAGATGTTGTTGAATATTCAACCGTGTAACCTCAGAAACCCCTTTCACCCTTGATAAAACACTGCTATAAATATAAAATATTAAATATACAGATACGATAATATGTATATTTAATAATTTACTGAGACAAAATAGTGTTTAAATCAACAGTTTTTTTAACATATGTGCATTCAGAAACATTTTTGATGCACCGATTAATGTCAGTTATTGGCGTGAACATTATATTCAGAATAGACTTTTTATTTTCATTTTGTACAGTATATGACCTCCGAAACGATCCACGGTCGCTTCTTTCAATTTAGGTCGCTGATTTATGAGACTTTAGTGCATTTAATGACACGTCCGGTGTTAGCGCTGCTGTAAAAGTCACTGATGTTATTCATATCATATAAAGAATTATGACTTTTTACGACCAACAAAAATGACTGAGGAAATACATTTATAAGGTGACTAATGTAGAAAGAAAATATTTTAAAAAATGATCCTTTCAAATTAAAGGAATAGTTGGGTCAAATTAAAAATGTACATAATAGCTAATAAGAAATAATATTAAAAAATAAATAAAAATAATAGTTATTATAATTATGGTTATAATAATATATATATATATAACTCCAAAATAAAATCCATTGCAATGTATAACTTACATTTTTGAACAGGTTCAATTAAGCTTCTCAACAAAACAAGAAATCAATTATATAAAATTTTGTATTTATATATATATATATATATAGCCATGTAAAACGAGTCTTCTGTTTAAAACCCGCCTACGTTCCCATTGGCTCAAATGTCAACGGTCGGCGTCTTTTACAGAATCGTCAGATGTTTGAAAAGTTAAGACAGAAGAAACCGTGACCCCAACCTCTGTGAGGAATTTTATGTTATGACACAGCAGTAACAGTTCAAGATTTATCGTTTTATTATATCGTATCAAATCATTTTTTAATTCGCACGTTTTGTTTTGCTTCATTTGATCTGGTTTTTTTTTTTTTTTTCAAACCTTACAAAATGTCGAAATCAGAGCGACTTTTAGTTAAACTTAAACGGAGATTTCAGATCGGAGGCGGAGAGCATCTTAAAACAATGATATAAATATGTATAAAATTGTGGTTTGGTAGTTTCATAAAGGAAGATTTTCAGTTTGTCTTGGGACTTTTTGACTTCCCCTTGTCAGTTTTTTGCTGACTCCGCGGAGCGTCTGTCGGACTGCCGCAACAGCTGAATTACCAGTTATCATGGGAATATTTGGGTATGTTTCTGTGGTGGAGGAAGGGGGTGGGGGTGAATGAGTTTAAACCCCCCCCCGGCCCAGCCTCCGTCTGTGCACGCTGTTCAGGCTGTGAGAACAATACCCCCGTCAGAGGAGGACAGATTGTGGGGCAGCTGCATTGTTGAATGACGGCAGGCCAGACACACTTTTTCTACCCTCCCATACTCCCCCTCCCATATACACACACACACACACACTCCATCCTTTGTTGTTGAGGGACTACATTATTCCAGCTCTCTTGTGGCATTCTATCTGACAAATAGCAGAGTAGCAGCTTAGACATGAGGGGTCGTGACATTAGGAAACCCCCCTCCACACCTTCCTCCTCCCGCCCCGTCCCCCAACCTCTACCACGGCTGCACGTTATACATGATAATACTAAAGTAGAACAACACAGGGACGATGTGTGTATACACTTTCTATAAGAAGGATGCGACTGCGAGCGTTTGTACACGAGTCAAAATGAAGTTCTAAATTTTAACTTAATCCTCAGATTTGCAAGCGTAGGAAGAAGCAAGGCAATTAAAATACAAATAATTTGATTTCTTTGTGTGCTCTGTCGCCACACGGTGGAATAGTGTTTAGTGCTCTTGCTTTACAGCAGCAGTCCCCAAACTATTTTGTAACATGGATCGGTAACACCGCACAATCGTTGAAGGATCATTACATTTTCAAAATAAAACTTTAGACTTTCTTCTGTCAGTATCAGAGTCTGAATGAGCTGTTGTTTTGAAACATTGTCAGATTATCTTTAAATTAAAAAACTAAAAGGATATGACTGGATTCTTTTGGAATGAAATAAATTAGTAAAACTGAAGTACCTTTTTTCACTGTGTCCCTCTGCGACCCGGTACCAAATGACCTACGGACCAGCACCGGTCCCTGGACCAGGGGTTGAAAACACCTGGTTTACAACAAAAACAAACAAAACAGGTTATTAGGTACATTAATATTTCTGTCTGGACTTTACAGGTTACTCACAATTCAAAACCATAAATTGTTACATGAATTCATAAAGTGTTTACCCCCCCCCCCGGCCCAGCCTCCGTCTGTGCACGCTGTTCAGGCTGTGAGAACAATACCCCCGTCAGAGGAGGACAGATTGTGGGGCAGCTGCATTGTTGAATGACGGCAGGCCAGACACACTTTTTCTACCCTCCCATACTCCCCCTCCCATACACACACACACACACACACACACACACACTCCATCCTTTGTTGTTGAGGGACTACATTATTCCAGCTCTCTTGTGGCATTCTATCTGACAAATAGCGGAGTAGCAGCTTAGACATGAGGGGTCGTGACATTAGGAAACCCCCCTCCACACCTTCCTCCTCCCGCCCCGTCCCCCAACCTCTACCACGGCTGCACGTTATACATGATAATACTAAAGTAGAACAACACAGGGACGATGTGTGTATACACTTTCTATAAGAAGGATGCGACTGCGAGCGTTTGTACACGAGTCAAAATGAAGTTCTAAATTTTAACTTAATCCTCAGATTTGCAAGCGTAGGAAGGAGCAAGGCAATTAAAATACAAATATTTTGATTTCTTTGTGTGCTCTGTCGCCACACGGTGGAATAGTGTTTAGTGCTCTTGCTTTACAGCAGCAGTCCCCAAACTATTTTGTAACATGGATCGGTAACACCGCACAATCGTTGAAGGATCATTACATTTTCAAAATAAAACTTTAGACTTTCTTCTGTCAGTATCAGAGTCTGAATGAGCTGTTGTTTTGAAACATTGTCAGATTATCTTTAAATTAAAAAACTAAAAGGATATGACTGGATTCTTTTGGAATGAAATAAATTAGTAAAACTGAAGTACCTTTTTTCACTGTGTCCCTCTGCGACCCGGTACCAAATGACCTACGGACCCGCACCGGTCCCCGGACCAGGGGTTGAAAACACCTGGTTTACAACAAAAACAAACAAAACAGGTTATTAGGTACATTAATATTTCTGTCTGGACTTTACAGGTTACTCACAATTCAAAACCATAAATTGTTACATGAATTCATAAAGTATTAAATAAATACTTTACTGCAGTGTACTGCAACATTTACTACTGAAAATCTGGCCAGACAGATGGAAGGAACCATCTTGTTTTCTGATCATGGGAATTGGAATCAGTTACACAAAGTCATTTGGAACAATAAAAAATAATTAGGTATGATTTTGAGAAGAAAAACACCAACACTCAAACACTACAGGACTCAGAGCAGTTGCAGTGGAATTACCCTCTCTGGGTATTTCCACACCAATACACAGAGCACTGTCAATCTTTATTCTCTATCATAGCATTGATCACCGGATGCTGCAGACAGCACAGGTGTGGAGGCGACTGACTACAGTCTGAACAGAAATGGAAGACGATGTAGAGGTGAAGGACACACAGTGACCCGTGACCTCCGGGGCTCAAACTGGGTACCATGTTGCTGTGAGGCAAGAGCAGAAACCGCTTTGTCACTGTGTGGGCAGCATCAATTTTGTCATGTTTTGGACTTGAATAGAATACGATTTGATAAAAGTTTTTTACTATTTCTATGCTAACTTTTAAGCTACCGCGCCTTTGTTTACCTTGTAGTTTTAGCCACTAATAGAAGGATTTAGTTTAAATATTTGATATATCTGGGCTTTGGGCTCTTAGATTTCAATATTTGAGTCCAAATATTACAGCTGCGTTGCTACCTGAGTAGCTCAATATAAGCTGTTTCTTGGTTAGCTTAACTTAAAAGTAACAGAAGAAGGAAAGAACCCATGGAATTACAAAAGCTAAAAACAGTGCATAATTACAGACCCAGACATGATTTCACTGTAACAGGTTCAGATCTAAAGTGTGTTTGAGTTTAAAGAGTACTTCAAAGTACTGAGACATTAGCCTCAGGGCTAATGTCATGTGTCGATTGTGTTTGACAGCCTGCTAATGCTGCATACTTTTGCATAAACTGAAGCCTGAAGGTGGCTGCTCTACTTGCCAAACTACCCCCCAACCTCTACATATATACATACATATACATATATACCTATATACCTATATATATACCTATATACATACCTATATATATATATATATATATATATATATATATACATATATACCTCTACAGCCCCAACCCGCTCCTCCCTGGACAAGAACAACACTGCTTGTGTCACCCAATGAAATTTATCCCAAACGACTGTTTCCCAAAGACTGGGTCGCGGCCCTCAGGTGTGACAGAAGTTTTTTTTTTGTGAAACTGGTTTAGAACAAGGACCCTCCCTGAAGAAACATAAAGCAAAAGATATCAAATATCGCTATATTAACAGGAGGTGTAAAAAAAAAAAAAAAACCAAAAACAAAAACCACTGTAAAGCACGAAACAATCAAAGAATTAATTCAGGGGCTGTGCAAATTTGAGTGCCAGTTAACCTGGAACAGAAGATTTTAATTGGTAATAATTTGTCTGCAGTAGGTGTAAAAAACAAAACAAAACTGTGAATCACACAGGAACTGTGCAAAATGCAGTTCGTTTGTTGCTCAAATATGGCAAAGTTGGAAAAAAGGAAGAAAAAGCAATAATAAAAAAAAACAGTTACTCAATTTAGTATGGCAGTAGCGATTGCAGCATTTTCACACACACACACACACTCCGACAGGCCAGGACAGTAAGTGGTTTGGCACGGCTGGACTTGGGTGCAGCTCAGAGCAGCTAAAATGCAAATGAATCGAAGTGGAGCAGCAGGTACGGGTGGTTACAGCTCTGCTCCGGCCTCCACTAATGATATCAGGCTCCATAACATTTACATTAGCACGACCCACCTAACCACATGGTTGGTGTGGTGAAGACAATAGTGCACTAAAGGTTCTATATGCAAACTAAGGGGGCGTGGCCAGTGGGAGGAAGACAGTTGACGGCTGCTGCAGCTGTGCAGACAGAGTGGTTTGGATGGTCTGGGGGTTTCTGGTGGACCGACTCAGGTAACTCTGAAACCTTAACATCTTTTTAAATGTATCTGCATTTCAACTTTAGGCTGTGTGTGTGTGTGGTCAGGACTAAATGTTTGTTAGCAAAGACAAAGGGCTACATTTTTGGACTTTGCTGTTACACTACTGTATCTTTTCTCCGTTCCTTTGTTAATACGATTACGGTACGATTCGTGCGAATATAAAATATGTCTCACCTCGGTGTCAACGTTAACATTTGTAATTCAACCATAACTTTCTGCATTTGTCGAGATTAAAAAAAAGGGAAAAAGCTTATTTAAACACCATGTTTTCATGCCTTATTATCACGTTGTAATTATTATATAATTATAACAGCGACGACAATCATCATTATGGACACAATTAAATTATAATTATTGTTATTATTGGCTGATTCCAGGACACGAAATGCTTTGGTTATGCAAACAACATAATTAGATAATAATGTAAATTAAATCAATATTTAATAATAAATACAAATTGAAGCTGTACTGAGTTTTTTTTTAAATATGTTTTATACTGAGCATTTTTGAGTTTTGAGTTTTATATTTTTAATCTAAAATCTTTATAATTGTATTATTGTTGGTGAGCAACAGCTAAAATCTTTGTAATTGTATTATTGTTGTAATAAAAGCAATGTTGGTGAGAGAATGAAGGAAGACTCCAGCAATCCTGGAGAAGGAGAAGAGATGAGCTGCAGCAAAAGGAGAAGGAGTGCAGAGGAATGTGAATCAAGGACATCACTCCATTAGTACTGCTCACAAATACAAATGACCCCTTACATGGGACTGAAGAAGGCGTGGTGGTCGTTTTGAAACGACGCAAGCTAACATCTTCTCTTTTCGTTAGAGTTTGATTTATTATCGGTAAGTAGGTGTGAATTGAAGAAGAGTTCACACCTGAACAAAGAGAAAAGATCAGAGTGCGACAGCCAGGTTTAATGACGTGAAATGACGTTGGAGCTCAAGGGATGGCCCCTGGGGAAAACATGTACCGAACTCTTGAAAGAAGACTGCTATGTAGTAAAGTGGGACTTCTTGTCTAGGGTGGAGATAGAAGGGAAGTAGCTGGGTCTTCTGAATAGCTTTTTGAAAATAGGCAGGGATAGGCCCCTGTTATGGTGGTTTTCAGTAGCTCATCCCACAAACGTGCAACGATCTGTACCAGCAGCTGAGTATCCTTTTGGGTTAGATATGGCCCCATCTTTCTTATATTGAAAAGTGTAAAGAGACACGATCAGGCAAGAAAGCCAACGCCATGATCAATAAAGGACAGCTGATCAACAATCATGACACCCAAGTTTCTTGCTACTTTGTTAGGGGCAAGAGATGAGGAGTCACTCTGGATGTAGATGATGTAGGATTGGCTTGGCTGAGAAGACCTACGTTGTAAAGTGGGACTTCTTGACTAGGGTGAGAAGATCAGTAGTTCAGTACTGAAAAGTTGAGCTGTAGGGGACGGGCGTTTCATCCATGCAGTCAGAAAGACAATCGTGTTGAGACTCTCGTGTCATCAGATGGAAAAGATCAATATAGCTGGGTATCATCCACATAGCATTGATAAGAGAAGCCACGTAGTATACATGGCAAAGAGGAGGGGGTCTTGGGGAACCCCTGTGCCAAAGTGGTATGATGATACATAAATGAAACGCCAAAAAGGCAGCAATGGCAATATTTTAACCAATTATTGTCTGTGTCCCCAACTAACTCTGCTCTCAGGACCGATCATTGCCCTGTTTACTACCAGCAGTAACAGTGGGGTCAGTTTGGTGTCTGAGAGGTCACGGAGGGCGTGGAGCTGGATGTATGAGACGGCTTCATGGGCCTGAAGGACCATCTGGAGGATGGGACCGGCCACATCCTCAGCCTGGAGCTGGACTTGGACTACCTTCACGTGGAAAGTGCTGAGCGACAGGGCAGCCTAAGCTCCGGGTCGGGTTCTGCGAACATCCTGCAGGGCAGGGGTGGAGCCTGTAGTGTCAGCAGCAACAGCATTGAGAGTCGTGGTAGTTGTTTTAGCACCAACTCAAGCTGCAGCAGCAGCAGCAGCAGCAGCAGCTGCAGTAACCTGTCAGAGGAGAGCGCGGTGTCCGACAGTGATGATGAACGGCTCCACAATGGATCTGGTTCTAAACCCCATCAGCCTCACATACACCCAGCAGAATCCTTCACCGATCTTCAGCAGGTCAGGCTGGACCTGACCCTCGACCAAAACCCCAGAAGCCAAAAAACCCCAGAAGCTCCTGCTCCTATCGACCCAGTCATTGAATACCGCACCAAGGTGGATTTCGCTCTGAAACTCGGCTACTCCGAGGAGCTGGTTCTGATGGTGCTGAGAAAACTGGGCACTAACGCACTCATCAATGATATCCTTGGTGAACTGGTCAAACTGGGAGCCAAAACAGAGATGGAGCAGCAGGGATGCTCGAGCGCCTCCTGCTGTCCATCTGCCTCCTCTTTGTCACCCCCATTGTCCTCCTTTAACTCCTCGCTGGACTCGTGCCAGCTGCTGTGTCCATCACAGCTGTTGGACAAAGAGAACCTCCGGCCGGTGGTTGTTGATGGGAGCAACGTCGCCATGAGGTACTGATAAAACAAAACAACCAGGAAATGTCAAAAGATGACAGCAATAAATATTACACCACGATGAAAGTCAGAGTTTTAGGATAGAGGAACACTTTGCATTCATGGTTCATTTACATGTTATGACTAGGTTTGAATTAAACTAGCCAATTTACATTTCATTTTTGTTGCTGACCTTTTGCTATTTTTGGAGACTGAGTGAACAAAGAATATAACTCCCCCCATAAAACTCTAAATTGTTTATTAAAATCTACCCAAAGCATTCAACTTGCAAGTTATCCCATGATTCCGTGCTGCCTGTGCTTACGTGAGCAACAGACTTGCATGGCAGCAAAAAAACAAGTAAATAAATAAAAAGACCAGACATCATATTTAAGAATCTCACAAGTAGCTACACATTTTTTCTAAATGTTGTATCAATTGTGCATGGTATGTTTCAGATTTATTCAATTGAAAATGTCAATGTGAAAATATGAATTACCCCCACGTACCACTAGAGAGAGCTGGCGTACCACTGGTGGAGACGTAGAGAACGTATATATTCTCTAAACCAGACATGGGCAAACTAAGGCCTGGGGGCTGGATGCGGCCCGTTCAGTTTTTTCCAACATACAGAATTTATTTATATTACTATTATACTTCTCCTATTCCGCTGCAATACCCATGTTTCCCCAATAGATGGCGTAGAAAATTATAAAAGTATTTTAGCATATTAGCCTTTATGCATGATGCATGACACTCCATCTATCTGCTCCTGACCCGGCCACCCCTGTTCAATTTAAGGACAATTGTGGCCCGCGAGTCAAAACGTTAGCCCACTCCTGATCTAAACTATTCCTCTTTCCTTCTGTTGCAGTCATGGAAATAAGGAAGTCTTCTCCTGTCAAGGCATCCAGCTGGCTGTGGATTGGTTCTTGGACCGCGGTCACCGTGACATCACTGTGTTCGTCCCTGCCTGGAGAAAGGAGCAGTCGCGCCCCGATGCTCCCATCACAGGTAGTTTAATGTCACATCACTCTGAAAACTCTCAACTGCTCACTTATTCTTTTCATCACTCGGACCCTTCACTTATTTCATTCTATCCTTGTCTGTGTTTTTTTCAGACCAGGAGATCTTGCGGAGGTTAGAAAAGGAGAAGATCCTGGTCTTCACCCCTTCTCGACGTGTGCAAGGACGACGCGTGGTCTGCTATGACGACCGCTTCATCGTAAAGCTGGCTTACGAGTCGGATGGCATCATCGTTTCCAATGACAACTACAGAGACCTGGCCAATGAGAAGCCGGAGTGGAAAAAATTTGTTGACGAGCGTCTGCTCATGTACTCCTTTGTTAATGACAAGTAAGATACTCATGCGACCTTCATCCCTTCCTGTTTGTCTACTATCTTCAGTGAGTGATTTAAGAAAGTGATACTACCTAATACCTCACTGTCGTACTACTGTATGCAGCAATGTATTGTTTTGATGCATTTGTCCAATGTTTTTTTCTTAAATAAATCTAATTTAAAACATAAATGTGTTTTCAGATTTATGCCACCTGATGACCCACTGGGACGCCATGGACCCAGTCTAGACAACTTCCTGAGGAAAAAACCTGTTATTCACAGGAAACAGCCATGTCCATACGGTAAAACCTGAATCTAATATGCATTATATTTACTGGGGGGGTGGAGGGGGGGTTTTTTTTACATCGTAAAAAAACGCAAAAAGCTAGGATCAATATAGTACAAATAATTATTATTATTTTTAACTCCCGATATTTACTGGGGGGGTGGAGGGGTTTTTTTTTACATAGTAAAAAAAACGCAAAAAGCTGGGATCAATATAGTACAAATAATAATAATTATTATTTTTAACTCCCAACAGCCCTTAATATAGATGTTTTTTGATGGGATGTCCAAAGTAAAAAAAAAGTGAGGGGCATTCAGAGATCGGAAATTTGAGAATTATTTATATTATAATGATTATATTTTCATCATATTACAGGTTAAGTCTGAAAATAATGTTGACAATATTATCGTTCAGCGGCAATAATTTGTATCGTGCAGCAAAACTTGTTATCGCCACAAGCCTACTCCAGTGTTCACAAACTATAATAAAACAAAACCCTAAAAAGGCTCATTTCAATTTATGTGCCTGTCTTTTAGGTAAAAAGTGTACTTATGGTCACAAGTGCAAGTTTTACCACCCGGAGCGAGGAACCCAGCCCCAGCGTTCTGTAGCAGATGAGCTCCGTGCCAGTGCCAAAATGTCCTCGGCTTCTTCCAAAGGCCTGGTAGAAGATGCCCTGATGCCAAAGAGCCAGGGATCTGGAGTTGCTGAGGTGGAGCCAAGTCAGAGAACCCCAAAGAAACAGTCGAGTGCTATCCTTCGGAGCTCCTTCTCTGACCTGGTGGAGGACAGGTTTCAGGTTGCACGAAGAGGAAGCAGCAGCAGCAGCAGCAGCAGCTGTGGGAGCAACCATCAGGGACATGTGGCCCCCGGTGGGCCTTCAGCGTCAGCGAGCTATGACCCATGGGAACATCCAGTGGAAAGTGGCGGAGGCGGTTACAGGGTTGCAGGAACCTCAGGACCAGCTAAGACATACAAGTACCACAGATGCAAGTCTCCCGAGCTGAGCTACAACTCGTTGTCTAAAGCCTATTCGGGCCTCAGTCTGGAAGTTTCACATAGCCCAGATCGTTTTTTCCCAGTGGACCTACGAGCTTCGTCACTGCCATCCGACTGCAGCAGCGATGGTAGCATCAGCTCGGACTCTTTCTCCCCTGACCTTTTAGCAGATGATGCTCCTAGATGCCACCATCATCACCAGCAGCACCACCACCCTTCTTATTCTCATCTCCTTCACCATCACTGCTCTGGTCAACACACCTATCCCTCAGGCCGGGTTCCACCTGGACTGGGCCAACCTGCTTCTTATAGCAGTCCCATGTCCCAAGTGCTCCAGAGGAAGTTTGATATTGGTTTGGAGGAACCTTCATCCTCCACAACCTCTCATGGAACACCTCGTCCTTTTAGAAGCCCCTCCTCCTATAGTCCACCACACCATCAGGATTTACCACCGAGTGGCTTTTCAAGGGACTTGCACACCTACCTACCCCAAATGCCCAACACTCCGCCTCAGAACCACAACCTGATCAGATCCCGTTGGCAGGAGAGTGGGCTACAAGACTCCAGATTCTACGAAGGGTCACCAGTTTTTTCCAGAAGGAACTTCTCTGCAGAAAGTGAACAACCACTACCAACTATCAATTGGGAGCCCCAGTACCATCGCTCCCCGAAGCCTTACAGTGACCCATTCACCTTCCAGAGCAGAGTTCATTCTTCACATCCAGGACTATTGGCAAGAAATTCACCAACACCTTCATCGTTTCCCCAGGTGTCCTTCACACCCATTACTCCCAACAAAAGCCCCACGCCGTTAGTGCCTCACCACCAAGAACCCCAAACCTTGGATCGATACCAGGACCTCAGGGAGAGGATGTTCGTTAACCTCTGCTGCATCTTTCCTCCCGATCTGGTCAGAAGTGTTATGGCCAAAAACCTCCATGTGATGGATGCGCAGGAGCTGGCCGCTGCAATTTTGATGGAGAAATCCAGGCTGGAGTCCTGAGGCTTGAGGTCCTGCATTGATTCATACGAATCCTTATGTCGTCCTGCAGGGATCAGAAATATTTTAGTATTTTACTTTAGCACGCAGGGCTGTTGTTTGGTCTGTAAACAGACTGTTTTTATATCTGCAGCTGAAGCTGTCTCAGTAATTCTAATGGTATTTTTGTAAAGGGAAACCCCTCCACCCCTCCAAAAAAAATCTACCATATTATTTTTTTCATACGTCTGCTATTTCAGCACTTAGGACATCGCTGTGCTTCAAGACTTTTGTTCAGACTTTTAAGGATTGACTGTGTTGTTTATTTTTGTTTGAAAAATTATTTATTTGTGACATTTTAAGTTATTTGAATTATATTTAGTTTTCGGCACTTTTTGTTCTGCGGGTTTTCTTCTTTTGGGCTGGAGGGTAATCTTATCAGGGTAGAAGCGCTTCTCGGGTTCAACATCAACTACATTCCTCCTGTGATTTTCTCTTTCTGCAGCAGGGCAGGTGGCAGATCAGACGCTGTGGTCAGATTTTGTGGACTTTCCCAACGGGGAAGTGAAACTTTTGGGGCGCCCACCAAGAAAAAAAAAAAGTCCACTTCAAAAAGCCCCAAATTTTTCTTCGCTGCTGCTCTGGAGGTTCTTTCCTACTCTCCCCGAGTCAGCTGTTTTTTTTTTTTTTCATTTTTAAAAGTTATATCAAGGCGACAGTTGCCGTCTGAGAGGCAGAGCTAAACAATGTTACTTTCTTTTTTATTCTAATGTGTAATTGTTAATTTATCATTGTTTTTATGACACACTGTTGCTTTGATCAGTGTCATGGTGGTCAAGCTCTCTGTTCTTGTGTCATAAAGAAAAAAAAAAGAGAATGAGCAGAAGAAATATTCTGATGGGTTTTTTTTAGGTAAAACAAACCCTTATGCTGATGATACTTGTGTCTTTTTGCAGGTTGTCTTTGCTCCATATGTCCCTCGAACATGAAGACAACAATAATAAAAATATTAAAAATATATTAAAAAATACATACAAAAATAACATTAATTTTAATTTTATTTATTAAATAACCAGCGGTTATTCTATAAAATTGAACACTATTTTATTTATCAGTATTAGTATTTAAAAAAAATTAAAAAATTGAATTTTATTGATCCCATATTTGGGAAACTCTTGTGTTAACAGCAGATCTGCTGCAACAGGCTGCCCCCTGCAGGCGCCAAGCATGTGGTTCCTCTGGGAATCTAACCCAGGGCTCTGTGCTCTCTGTCTTTCGAGGCAGGCGTGATAACCGCTGATCAATTTGTCATATATAAAAGAATCACCAAATATTGGTCGACAAAATTTCGACAAAGTTTGAAGAAACGCAATGTGAAATGTCAGTGTTTTCACCTTCTCAGTTTCTCCTTTTGGTCTGTGTTCTTGTGGCCTACACGTACAGCCCACTCAACAAGTACCAGGAACGTCAAGCATCAGGAAGAGCTTTCATACCACAACATGAACCCACCACAGTAAAAATCCAACGACGATTCTGCAGATAGAAATTACCATTTAGTTTCACTTCAAACCTCCTAAAATCCTGAAAGATAAAATATACATTTTCTTTATAATCGTTAAAGTAGAGGATGCACATACTTCCTGGTACTGTTCTAAGTTCCTGGTACTAGTTTCTGACATGGAAGGTTCTGTAAAAAGCACTTTGGGCTGCATTTATTTTCTTCACCTACTGGGATTAATGTACTGTCTTAGGAAATGTTTGTGAAACCAAAACTCTGGTCCTGGTTCGGGAAATATCCGACAGCCAGACGACAACAACTGTGTTGATGCAAATTGTATCCTGTAAACTGTTTTTTTTTTTTAAATTGAAGTTATCGCTTTTTATACAAGAATATTTAAACTGAGATAAATATTTCAAGTTGAATATTTTGAGTATTTGTTGTAAACTTTGACATGGTACTTTATTCATGTGAACGGACACCCTGATTACCTACTGTGTCCCATTTGTACTTGTTTTCAAATGTAAGCAAGTTGTGATTGTCAACATTTATTTCCCTGAGAGCGTCAGAGTAAGACCTTCAACTCTTTAATTCAGGCTTTTCTCGTGCGCTCAGATGACTTGGGTATAACTTTGTCTTTTGATACGAAATGTCTACAACCCAAATGTTTTTCTTTCACTACACCAGAGGCCTGTTCACTTGCGTCAGGGTTTTGATGTGAAGGTAGAAAGGTCGGTTTTGGAGCTCAGGGCAGGGCCCTACAGGAGAGTTCTAATGATGTGATATAGGCATATTAAAAAAAAAATTAAGATAAATAGCATTGTTTTGGCCTGTCTTTAGCCAGAGGAGTCTGCGATTTCAAGTCAGAGTCAAAGAAACTGTACTGAAACTGGTGCAGTTGTCCTGTTTGGTGGAAAATAGGGTACAGGAAGTCAAGCAATGAGACCAATGACAAAAAAAAATACAGACATATAGGAAGGTGAATGAAATATGCTTGACATTAATGAAAAACTAGAACTAAGGTTGAAAATGACGTCGACTATTTTGCTAATAACCACTTTTTACTGTAAAAAAAAGTGCTAAAGATGTATTTTTCTAAAAGTATGCTTTAATATCCACAGAGAAGCAGTTGCAAAGATTTATAATTGTGCAAGTATAACAGTCATTTTTGTGTTTTTTTTTCAAGTTAGTAGTCTATTGGTGTTTACTACAAGACGTTCAAATCTTTAATCTGTGTCTGACTGACCTCAGAAAAGCTCAGGAAATTTCAGCAGCTTCTTTTCTCCCTTTCCTTCTCCTTTCCTACGCAAGAGGGAATTTCTTCTTGCATACCCAGCAGGGGACATACTGTTTGTGCTCCGTCCTGAACAGAGGCAGTCCACGCTCCAGGCTTCTCAGCAGTTCACAGGACTCACTGCCTCACCGCTTTTCCGGAAACTGAATTTTGTGACATTGTTAGTAGTTGCACAGTGAATTACAGGCACAGTCTCTTAATGTGAAATGGATGTACATGTGTGGTTGCAAGAAATAAACCAAAATTAAATCAGGGAACATTTTTTTCTGAGAATTCAAATAAACCCTTTTCATTACTTTGGGTCTGTTCATTACACAATACGTTCACTAAACAGGAATCCTATTCAAAGGAAAATCAACAATAAGGCAGCTGATAGCAGGGTTCTGTCACATGGACTGGTAAATTGTATGTTATTACTAATACAACTGCAGCCATTTAATACAGCAAGTTCCAAATGACAATTCTATACTATATACTAAAATACTGCTGGTTCAAACCTGCATCAAACAGCGCCACCGAATGGCATGAACATAGGCTTACAGCTCTGATGAAACCCTTGAAAGATGTTACAGAGTTCACGCTGACAGCAGCTGTTCTGAAGAGTCGGTTCACGGCTCAGATTTATCCAGAAATCATGGCAGAGGCTGGGTCACGAGGAATGGGTACTCTGACCTTTTCCGTGCATCTCCAGGGACCACTTATAAATAGTGGAAAACAATACTAAGGTTTCACCACTGCTGCTGTTTCACTGTGTCCTGCTGGCA